ATTCTTCTATTGTTTACAAAAATAATTTTCTATTTATAATATTTAAAACTTAGTGTAAAAAATATAAATTTTTATTTTATTCAAATTATTACATAATAAAGTTTATATTAATATATAATCAGTGTGTTGCCCCGAACCCCATATTATTAAGGGTAGAATTTATATTCTCGCCCTAGGGTCCCAAATATGGCGAACCGTCCCTGAGTTTTTTAACTGTACATGGGATTTGAATTTAAATTAATTAAAAATAAAAATATTTAGATTGTTAATTAAATAAGCACAAAATAATATACAAATTTGCTTATATATATTTGATACAGTTTGTTTAGACGGGAGTCCACCAGCTTACGCATTAGACGAAGGATTTGGAGATGGAGCTAATAGCTGGGTGCTTTTTATTGAGGTAATTTAATTATTTTTTTTTCTTAATAAATAATTATTTTCATTTATACGATTTCGTAAATATTTTTTTAAAATGTGAAATAAACATTATATTTTAGGGTGGTGGATGGTGTAGTTCAAAATCTGATTGCTTCAAGAGATCAAAATCAGCAATTGGGAGCACTAACTTGAAGTCCAGATCAACCTTTTTCAAAGGACTTCTTGACAATAACCAGACATTTAATCCAGGTAATATAATTAATTTTTAATTATTAATTAATTATAAATTTGATTGAATATTTATTGTAGATGAATATTTATATAGTATTTGATTTATTTGTTACTTTCAGATTTCTACAATTGGAATCGAGTTTATATTACGTATTGTGATGGCGCGTCGTTTATGGCCGATATTGAAGAAGTTGATCCAGTAAGTTCAATTTCATTTATTATTTATTATTTATTTATATATTATATAAATATATAAATAATATATATTAATTAATTAATGAATTTCAGGAAACAAATGTGACATATAGGGGAGCAAGGATATTTGATGCTATAATGGATGATCTTCTAGCTAAAGGAATGAAGAATGCTGATAATGTAAGTATTATCTAATTTTCATGATTTAATTAATATTTAAATTTAATTAATTAACGAAAATAATATATATAAATTAAAAAGAAATCAGTTGATATTCAAATCTTTTAGAAATTACTTTACAATTATTTTAAGGCAAATTGCGCCACCCCTTAGGTATGGCCAAATTATAAATAAAACCCCTCTTGTTTGGGTAATTACAGCCAACCCCTCCTTTTAAATATTTTTACATAAAATTTATGTGATTCGGTTATTTACCGAATCAAATCGTATATTTAGTTCAGTAAACGGTATGAAATGTTGGTGTACCGAAAATTCGGTTAGGTTTTACCGAATTAACATCCAAAAATTTACCTCTAGAGAGGTCTTTTTGTAAAATAATACATAGTTGAGGGGGGTGATTGTAATTACCCAAACAAAAGGAGCGTTTACGTAATTTGACCATAACCTCAAAAAGGGCTGTATTTTGCCCATTATTTTATAAACCTTCAATATTTAATTTAATGCATGCACTTTTTCTAATTGGTCCAAAATTTTTAGGTTACTTTACAATTTC